AGAATAAATAAATTCTAAAAAATTGTAGAATAAGTAAATAGAATTTATTCTAAAAATAAAGCTTGTTTTGGTCAAAAACTAAGTTTCAGAATTCTGAAAATGAATTATGTAATTTATTGCTCTAGAGCAGTGTTTCTCAACCTTGGCCACTTGAAGATGTCCGGACTTCAGCTCCCAGAATTCCCCAGCCAGCATTCGCATTCAAGTGGCCAAGTGGCCAAGGTTGAGAAACACTGCTCTAGAGTATGGACATCTGCCTCTTTTTTAGTCTTGTCTTCAGTAAAATAAATTCTGACTGGGAGATTTTGGGAGTCAAAGTCCACACATCTTAAAACAGCCAACATTGAGAGACACTGCTTTAACCCAAACAGTTGACATAATTTCTTGACCTTTGGAGGTAAGAATCTAGAAACATAGCACAAGCCTAAAAAATCCTATCCCTTCCCCTAAGAAAATATTATTAAAGAAACAGAAACATTCAATCCCCAAGGTGAAAATGCAGGCTGCTAACCTGACAGCAGAGAACATCCCTAGAAAAAGTCCTGAAACATCACAGTAATCCAGGGCTGGAAGGGACCTCAGAGGTCATCTAGTCCAACCCCTTGCTCCAACAGGAGACCTTATATCACCTTGGTTATTTCCTCTAACACAGAGGAGAAATTCCCAGAAAAGGGAGGGAATTTACTAGGCAAGGCTGCCAGGCAGAGGGAGGCAAAGATAGTCCTCGAGGCTTTCAAGCAAAGTTGTGGAATGATTTCATGTATTCTCCTCTGAAAGCAAGTTTTATTAGAGTCAAGTGATGTTTGAAACCATATTCAGCATGGTTCTATATTTACTCGGAATAAAGTATTTGGTAATTTAGTGAGCTTTTTCACCCCAAAATTACCTTAATTGAGGGGGAAATCCCCCTAATTATTCAGAAAGACACTTTCCTCATTTGGGGAATTAAAGACAGATTTGCATTGATCTTTATTGATCTCTGCCATAAATATACATTGCCATTCACCCCTGATACCCACATACAAATACATATCCCAGTTGCCACAACTGCAACTATGCACCAAACAGCCTGCCATACCTTCTGCTTCAGAGGAATTGGACTCTCCAGCTATTTGGTAGTGGCTGAACATTCAATCAATCATGCTTGGAGAGAGATTTTAGAAAAGCAGATGTTGCTTTCCCATATTCCCATTGCAATGGAAAGGAAAACATTATGCATGGGTGTGTGAGTGTATCTACCTTTGTGTAGTTCTTGACCCACCATTCTGCACGGCATATTACTTTCAAAGGTCAAAAGATTGCTCACTCAATTGTAAGGGTTCAAAACATCTTTAACTAAGAACTTCAACCTTTTGTGAAAAGAAGACAGGAGTCCACAGCCATGCTATAGGAAATAAAACATAGCCAAGTCACTTAAGATAAACCACCCTTCAAACAGGCAAAATAAACAAACTTTGGTTGGCAAAAAAAATCAAGCCAAAGAGAAATGTTGGTTGAAGAGAGTGTTACAGACCCTTTGGAAGACATCTAAAATACTTTTCAAGAGATTTAAAATGTTTTCTTCTAGCAAAATTCAGCAGCAGCAAATATTTGCATCTTGTCATTTTCATTATTTACTTCCTGGCAAAGCAGGTGCCAAGGAAGATATCAATTACCCGCAGCATTGCCTCCTAAACCTGGATTTGGGGGATAGATTACCCAGCACCAAATGCTCAATATTAATAAGGCAAAAAAGCAGCAGGATGCATTTGTTCTTCTTTAATATGGTAGTTGCATTCTCGCTTCACGAACAGTGAGAGAATAGGGTGCTTCTAAATATTTGCTGGGAAATAACTAGAGTTCCTAGGTTTTTTTTAAAAAAAGACTCCTACATTCTAACTAGTCATTAAAAAACCCATATATGATTCAGATTGTAGAAAATTCAGAAAAAACTCAGTTTGAATTCCATGATTTAGTAAATAACTCGATTGCTCCATCACAGCAATAATCGTGTCTGCCCACATTAAACACATGTTTAGCAATGTTGTATTTTATCTGGATTGAGCTTTTTTGATTATCATAATACAGAAATATATTATGGGAACATTCCAACTTTAGGAAATGCAGTTGATCTGTTATAGGCTTGAGCTTTTGCAAAAGATAATATAGGTAAGATTATCTAGAGCTCTTGCAGAAGATAACCACTGCAAAAAAAAAATCTAGATGCTACTGTACATAGAGTTGAGATGCAGAGACAAGCAAGCAGAAAACTGACATTTGAGTGTCAAAGGACTAAACAGGAGGTTATTGGGCTGTGTATAACAGCTATGTAAAGCACTGTCAAATTATGATATACTGGATGCACATATTGCTCTGACACAAGAATGGCCTTCAGATTTATTTTTTTCCTTCCAAATTGTGCGATGAAATTTGGCCACACAATTTTCATTGCTAATATAGGATGCAAAGTGGTCGCAATGAAGCTTAATAACCCACTAAAAAAAAGTGAATACCTATCTTCAGACACAAATTTCAAACCACACTGTGTTCAGCCATTTCATCTACAGCTTGAGGAGTTAAAACAACTTCTGAACCAGCAGGAAAATTCAGTTGCAATTTTTAAAAAATTGGCTTATTTTCTATTTTGACAACAGGCACACCCACCTCTTTCCATTACTATCAAGAAGATGAATTTCTCCCATCATTTCAATAACTAGTAAATTGGAAGGTTGGTGTATGTATCTTGAAAGATACTAGCCACTAAATTGCAGTATAAACTGTAGTTCTAGTAGTTTCTTTGCTGTTACAGCTTGCTATTGTATCTCTGAATTATAATGATAAAGCTTGCTATTGATTATGCATCACTGTCAACTCCTATCAACCATATAGCTAATCTCCAGAATGTTCTGTTCCCAATCACCCAGTCCTACAGGTCTTCCAACAGTGCACCCATCCCTATTATAGTTGAGTTTATTCATCCTGCTGCTCATTGTCTTCTCCTCCATTAAAATGGGGGGAACCTAACTGTGCAAGTAATTGTTGTCACTTTTTAAAATGTTAAAAATAATGTACTTTCTTTATATTAATCAGCAAGCAATGATTTTATCATCTTTAATGAAACATCTGCAAGAAAACAAGCAAGCTCAGAGAGCATCAAGGATCGCTCATTCAGCCCTGAGCCACAAATATGCTCCTTTATTGATTCTGTATGAATTAAGGGCTCATATGGACTTAATGTAAGATTTTGAAGTTGATCCAACGATTTCTCCTTTCCCATTGCTTACATCAGCCATGGTAGTGCAGTGGTTAAAATGCAGTATTGCAAGCTAACTTTGCCCACAGCCAGGAGTTCAAGCCTGACCAGTTCAAGGTTGACTCAGTCTTCCAAGATTGGGAAAATGAGGGCCAATATTGTTGGGGGCAAAATACTGACTCTGTAAATCATTTAGAGATAAAGCACCATGAAGCGGTGTACAAATCTAAGTGCTGTTACCATGGCTATTTTGATAAGATTTTAAAGATTAGACATTAGAGGGCGCTAGATAGCTATGCAGAAAGGAGATCATACAACCTTTTCTAGCATCGATTGATGCTATTGTAGTGGAACAAGTCTCATTGAATAAGATTGAACAGGTAGAATTAAAAATTACAGCTTACAAGGAGGAGATGGAAATAATGGATTTGCAAAAGTTGAAAATTGAAATAGAAATCAGATGAGCAATCTGGATTATCTCCTTATACTGAATTTACAGGAGGGATTTGCTGGAGTTCCTGCATTGGAAGTACAAAGGGGCAGATGAAGACAAGAATTTTGTGAGGAGGATATGGAAAATCAGATGTTAAAAACTTCATTTGAGGATATTAAAGTTTGTTTGCAGAAAGAATACAGAATTGGTCTATTTGGCTGAAGTTACAGAAACAGCTTGTTCTTTTCAGGGATGTTTACAAGTTTAATATTAGAACTGGATGATGGTTATTACCTCTGGTAATGTTTCATTCTTTTTTGAGTGAAACCAAACTTTGATTATTTGAAGAGGAAATGGGGGGATTTATTTAAAGGGAAAGGAAGGGTTTCGGTTAAGTGGAATAGATATAATCTGTAATAGGTATGTTGTTATTTCTGATAACTCTTACTGAACTTTTGCTATGTAACGGGGAGATTTTTGTTTATACTTTAAGAGTAGTGATAAATGGTTAATGTTGATTATTCTTACTGGGATAAAAGAGGTTTCTTTTTTTCTATTTTTATTTTTCTGCACATCCCTTTTAAAGTTTTAATGTATTTAATGTATTTTTTTATTCTGTAGTTGTATAAAATTTTTGTACAAAGTAAAACAAAAAACTGGGTGACTTTGGACTAGTCACTCTCTCTTAGCACATCCCACTTCCCAGCTTTGTTGCTGTTGTTGGGAAAATATAAGGTGACCAGATTTTNCTTCAGGAGGCAAAAAATGCTGCATTTGATGTATAAAACACATCCAGATTTTCAGCCTCTTTTTTGAGGAAAAAGGTGTATCTTATACTCCAAAAAATATGGTATATTTTAGCAGTATTTATAAAAATGGAATTTGCATTATTGATAAACCTAAGCAGATGTCCGGTGGTATATTTTTAGGTACTTAACAGACTTGACTAAGGCTAGGATATAAAAATCTCTCTATAATGGATTGTGTTGCTATTTTATGGATAATTCAAAAGAAGTTTTATTTCAGAGAAGAGTGAGTTGTAGGTTAAACAAAACACCAATAGAAACCAGAGTACGTTTATAATAGATAGCCTTTCTCTTAACATGTGAAATTCTGAGGAACACTGATGTTTAAGAGCAGTTCAGAAAGGTTTGGGAAACTATGCCTCCAGGTAAGAAATTTAGTTAATTAGTTCTAAATTTCAGCATTTTCTTTAGACATGTCCTTGCTCTTCTGTTGAGTGTTGCTGTCATTTGAAAAAGAAATGTGCAATATTAAATTGGTTAGAATTATTAATTACATGCAAATGCTCCCTTTTCTTCCAGTAAGAAAAAAAATACAGATAAAAAACGTAAAAGAGAAGATGATGAAGAAGATAAGCTTGATATAGTTGGTAAGTGTTTTTTTTCATGGAAAATAAAAAATACAGGAATTCTTAATTAGGGACCAAAGAAAGATTAATGTTTAAATGAACTTGAAATTATACCTTTGGGACATACCTCCCTGTCTTAAACAGTTAATATATTGTGTTTTGTGGTTGACTCTAATAATAGAATATGTCTATTATAAAACAATATTGATGGTTGGAGTCTGAGCATAATGGAATAGTCACAGAATTGTGTCTATACTTTGCATATTTTATGATAACGTACTGAATACAACATTCACAGCATTTTATTGTGATCCTTAATACTTCAAGCTGTCTAACTTATGAACTCAAATACATAGTCAAAAGCTTTATTCTTATCAGCTGTTGTGGCAAGAGAATTTCTAAAACTAAACAATTTATTATTAGATTTAAAAATGACAAACAAGGATAGAGAAATGTGTTTTATATCTAGAGGCCTCCCATATATTTGCAGTCTAAATCTGGTATCCCATAAAGAAGTTAATGTGTTTAATGATGACAATTTAAAAGGCTTTTGATTAACAGCTACAATTGAGCATTAACTTTGATCTCTCAAAATAAATTGTTACAAAGGAAAGCAGTTGCTTGATATTTCCAAAATGTTTCCTTAAGCAATTAAAATCCCTTACATTTTACATAGGGAGCAGCTTTTTTATTCTGTTGTTTTCTCTATTTTAGAAGGCTGGTGGACGATAACTAATTTTGGTGAAATCACAGGAACTGTAGCAATAGAGATGGGTATTGGTACCTATATCAGTGCTCTTGATAATGGCCTCTTCACTCTTGGAGCTCCACATAAAGGCTGGTATCACATCTATTTATGTTACCATGAAACCATTCTGTTTTTCCCAATGATAGCAAAATATATGGTAAATTAATCTTACAAACACCGCCAAAGCAGTGTCTAGATTTCTAACTGCATTTAATTATTGGCATGCCAGTTGCACCCAAACAATATGGAATCAAGTACAGATAGATCTTGACATTACCACAATTAGGGCTGGAATTTCCATCACTAAGCAATGAGGTCATAAATTCCAATGTTATGTGCCACATTGCTTAACAATGGCAATCCTGTCCCTCTTGCCATCTTTAACTAAATTCCTTTAATCAGTAGTTAAAACCCATCCTGATCTAAGCCATTCCTGCCTTGGTTTCTCCTAGCCCTGAGCTGTTGTTTTTCTAAGGTAAGGAAATGCCTTTCTGTCAACTCCCTGCAACTGCCTATCCCCTAACCCACCCTCATCTCTTCCCTTTTGGTCACCCCACATGTTGCCTTTTTAGGTAGATGCCAAATGTGCATTTAATGTTATATTTCTTGTGATGCAAAATCAGTCCTGTTTGTTATAAATTATAGATAGGTATAGGTCACTAATGGTTAATCTTTTCAGCACCGAGTGCCAAAACTCGAGCGTGCCGGAACGTGGAAGAGAGTAGCTGGGCGGTACGCACAGCGGTCAGATGCACTTCTAGGTTTCGTCACATGTATATGCGTCAGAGAGCTGCTCTCTTCCGGGTTCTGGTGCGTGCATGTCAGCTGGTCTTCACATGAAGACCAGCTGACTGGCATGCATACGCATGATGGAACCCGAAAAAGCAGCTGGCGACGGCATGCATGCCCACAGAGAGGGTTCTATGTGCCACCTCTGGTACGTGTGTCATAGGTTCACCATCACAGGTATAGGTAGTGAATATATCAGAAAAAAATAAACTTTGAATTTCCTAATATCCTTAATGCATTCTCTGAGTCTTTTGTATCAATAATTGTTAAAGTAATTCTCCAACTCCCAACAACTTAAACTACAGTATTTAAAGCCAAAGTTCTAGATTGAAGCTACATGGTGCTCAGTTATATATTTATAAGGAATTTAAAAGCAATTCAGTCACAGTTGTTGAAAATCCTACCACAAGTTCCTTATTCAACTTCCAATTCTCTAACACTATTGGAACTAGTCTGCATTTCCCTTGGAGACTTGTTCTGGCTGAAGCAAGTCTATTGGGGAACTTCCCTGGTCCATCTCATCTTATTTGGTTCACTTCCACCCAAGAGAATAAATTATTGATGATTTGGCATATCACAGTCTCATTTTGACAGTACTACCTGCTTTGGGACTTAATAAAGCTCTGGCTGGACCGAAGAGAAGATTTGAGAATCTAGAGATCGAAAATGACAAAGCCGATATCATGTCTCACCCCCTTTATTGCACAATTCCTTTTTCTCTCTGGACTGTCCCTTGATATTTCTTTAACCTGTTATGTGGTCTACATAGGAAACTATTTATTTTGGCTCAGATTGAGATGTTACCTATTAGGGCAACAATTGGTAGATATATGTCTCCCATTTGAAAACCAGACTTGTTTCTTTTCAGACTTGAAAATAGAATTTGTTTGATACGAACTATCATACTGTATAAAATATCATATATCATATGCCTTTTGAACACTGATCATATTTTATATTTCCAATTGTTAACATTTCTAATTGCCATTGCATTCAGGAGGCCATTTCCCTTTTCCTTGGTAGTTACTCTTCAGAAACCTCAAAGATGTTTGACAGATTTTTATCAGTAGTTACAAACCATTTTTTCCTCCCTAATTTTATTTATATAGAATTTGTATGCCACTTTTGTTTTTGTAAATCTTAAGATAGTGAACTGTTCTGACCCCCCTCTTTGCTCGTTCACAAACGACAGCCAGACAGAACTTCAAAGGAAATANTGACTCAGCCTTCCATCCTTCCGAGGTGGGTAAAATGAGGACCCGGATTGTTGTTGGGGGCAATATGCTGACTCTGTAAACCGCTTAGAGAGGGCTAAAAGCCCTATGAAGCGATATATAAGTCTAACTGCTATTGCTATTGCTAAAATACCAGCTGGGGGCAGGGCAGGCTTACTTCTGGGTGCGGTCACAAAAATCGGGACTTTTTAAGAACGCCCCAGGACGTGGGACAAATTGTGCAAAATCGGGACGTCTGGTCACCTTAGGAAAATAGGAGAAAATATACTCAGTATGTTCATCATCTTGAGTTATTTATTAAATAATAATAAATGCAGAATGAAAATAAATAATTAACAAAATTAATACATTAAATAACAAATAACCTTTAGTAAAATTATTCAGAAAAAAAAATATTTTTTTTTAATCTGCCTTTAGCTCATCTGCTTTGGAGGAATCACATTGTGTTTGCTTATCCACAACTTTATAGAGACTGCCTATTTTCATGGAGTATATTTCCAGACAAGTGCATTTTTGCCCAGCTTAAAAAGGCCTAGATATCTTTTTGTACTAGCCTTTTGAGACAGGTCAGATCAAGAAATAGGCACAGCAGGGATTCATAAATGTTTTTCAGCATGGTAAGGAATCTTGAAAGCCTGTCCTAGTTTCTCACTCTTACATCTTATAGTATACAAAATCAAGGTGGAATTGTTCTGAATTTCTTTCTCATTTTTTTTCTGCTTTCTCAAAACTGTGTGATCATTTCTTCCTTTAATGGCTTGCTCCTTCCTTCTCTATTCCCAAGGTCAGCTCAACATTCTTATTACAGTTCATAAATATTTGATGGTTTCTTCCTAGTTCTTCCATCTTTTTTTTCTTACAATGGTTAATCTGATAAAGAGAAAACAAATAGAAAGGTTTTTTTTTCCAGGAGATTTTTTGGGAAGCATTAAGAGAGAAAGGCTACTCACATTAAATTGGAGGGTTTTATTCAAAGACTAGTGAAATTATTCTGGAGTCTGAAAGTTTGAAACATTTTGCTCCTTATACTTCCAAGATTGGAAACCACAATATACTAAAAAGTTTCAGCCTTTCTGTATTAAACAAGCACTTTTTATTTCTCTGCTTAGATTGCAAACGATTCTCAATTCTATTTTAAGGGTAACAGACAGTTAGATTGTAATGATACTAGAGTCAGCAATAGGTAGTTCTCAACTTATGATTGCTCATTTAGTAACCGTTTGAAGTTACCAACTTTCTGAAAAAGGGGACTATCTAAAATTCTGACAGTTGGTCACCTCCCTCTGGTCACCGGATTGCACTTTGGGTCGGGTGGGTTTCGGCCTGCTTTACTGGCAGTTTGCTCGTGTGCACGCTGCACGCGCATGGACAGTTCAATTAAAATTGTTGGCGTCAACCAGGGAACCAGTTCAGAGGCGTAGCAGGCCTGGGTTGCTGGCGGTTCCAGAAACTCAAGCCGCCATACCACTACGGCTTTGGCCGAACCAGGCCGAACCATAGGAACCTACCTTTCATTTGGATGCTCAGCACTGCAACCATGTACCCACACTTTAAAATGATTTGGCTGAAAACTAGCTACTTCCATTTTTCAACAAAACTGTGTTCATAGCAATCATCAGCAATCATCAAAATGTTTGCCTAACAAACACTGCAAAAAACATGAAATTGAGTTTCTTATATCAGGGGTCCCCCAATGCTGGCCATGGCCTGTGTGGAACTGGGCCATCAAAGTGGTGGGTAAGTGCGTGTGCAACACCGCATTTGTAAAAGCAGCACATGCATGCAAAACCATTCCCTCCCCCACTGCTGCTTCTGCCTGTCCACCAATCGGGAATCTTGGCGGCTGCTGGGTTACATGACCTCTCTCTCTGTAAGCTGCTGTTGCGCCTGTCGTCCTGGATCAGGCTGAGCTGCCTGTCCTTCTTCAGCACCTCCCGGGGGTGCACATCCATCGTAAAATCCATCGGGTTGTTCGAAGTAGCGAATGCTGGCTGGGGAATTCTGGGAGTTGAAGTCCAGACATCTTCAAGTTGCCAAGGTTGAGAAACACTGCTGTAGAAAGTGTATCAGTTGGTTACAAAAAGCTTTCATGCATCTCTTCCACTGTCGTCACAAAATTCGTATTAACTCAAGTATTTTAAATCAGATATTTTTATACATATTACCATCATCATACCTCTATTTTCATTTGACTATGATTGTTTAAACCAGTGGTAGTCAACCTGATCCCTACCGCCCACTAGTGGGCATTCCAGCTTTCATGGTGGGCGGTAGGGGGTCCGATACTGAAGGACTTTCTTTTTTAAAAATTTAATTGACTTTTTTTAAAAAAAATCATAGCATTATTTAAAAACATTTTCATTAGGTTTTCATAAAATCACCATTACTGTGGAACCGGTAGCAGGTAGAAAATTTTACTACTAACAGAGATACAAAAGTGGGTGGTAGGTATAAAAAGGTTGACTACCCCTGGTTTAAACGTTCTTCATTATAAAATGTACCAAGATTTAAAACCTGACAACATACTGGCATTTCATTTGTTATTTCTAATATCCTCCAATAACACTATATCCCTATGGCCTATTCTGACTAAACATCAATAATATTTAGTAACAAAAACTTCTAATCCTCCTTTCCAAATTACTGTTTACAATTTACATCCAATTTCCTTATGTTGTACATATATATGTATGTATGTATGTATGTATGTATGTTATGTATGTATACACACACACACACACACACATTGTTATCATTATCCCTCCTTCATTTAACTCTATCCATTATCATAGCATTTCCCCCCCAATAATCAAAATTTAACTAAATTCAATTTAGTTCTTTTTTATTAACCTTTATATATAACCAAATTATTTCTAATCTTCCTTTCATAGGTACCATTCAATATTCATATCCAATTACTACTTGTCATACCAATACATATGCATACATTATCATTATTATCACATCACCAACATTATTGTGGTTGCATAATAGTCACAATCATCCTGTTTTTCCAGCAAACAGGGCCACTTTAAGAAATTTGGGAGGGCGTAGTAATGGAGTAC